TGCTGATGACACTGTTAGCATAAAAACTGGCTCAGAGTAAGACAAAGCAAGGGCCTATGTGATGCAGTGGGTAGCACGTGATCCCCGGAAATCGCAATCGCAATGTAATCGCAGTTTAGTCTGGCTTGGGGTCTGTGTTTTGCAAGCATCTCAACATCGTTGTGTTTGTCGCTTTTAAATTTTGAACATTATGACTCTGGATGTTTTCGTCGAAAAAAATGTGAAGGTCATTGTAGAACTCTTTACCTACGGCAGTTGATTAACGGGTTAGTTAACCTTGGACCAAGTTTCTGAGGAAACATGAAATAACACACAGAGTACTTCACTTAAAATTATGAGTCATTGTCCTTAGATAATTAGATGGCCCATGCACACATCTCTTGGCTTTAATATTAACTTTCGTCAATCAACTCTCATTCAATGCATCTAGTTGAATTCGTACTTCAGCTTGGCTGAGATTTATGGATCTATGGTCCTTTCTCGTATGCTTTCCGTTGAATACTGAAGTAGCGTTATTGAACTTCATTCCTAGATTTTCCCTGCATGCATCCTTCGTGGATTAGATGAAAGCTTCCTGCATTGAGGCTAGAATTCTTCCAGAATACCACTGACTCCTGTGACAGCGGCAGTTCGCTCATTTAGCCGGCCGGCTGATGATAATCGACGCAATATTCCCCAGTCTCTGATTTGCTATGCTTTAGTGTATAATGTAATAGAGGTGCACACTTATTCGCTGTGAGGATAATATATATTGTCGGGAATTGTTGATGAGTGTTGAAACGCTGTAGGCGATCAGAAGGTTTATCTTCCAACAGAGCCACTCAAACTACGGAATTCAATTTGCCAGTTCGGAAGCTAGGAGTAAACCTTATCTGGAAATTCTCGCCGTTCGGGAAGAAACCTTGTGAGAAGATGTCAACGCTGCTATTAATCCTCATCTGCTTTCAACTGCCTGTTGTGACGACTTGTGAACTCATTGGCATAGCTATATCGAGATTCTAGTTATTGCTCAAGTGGTAAAATTTCTCTGGTGAACATACGCACGATACACCATGGAGATTGTTTCTTACTTTACACGTATAATACCAGAATACTTTCTTCAGACACCAATCTTCACGCCGTTCTTAAAGCGGAAGACTACGTCAAATTTTATGTGATTGCCCTAGAAGAAACAAAAAGCAGGAAGACTGATATACGCCAACTAAACAACGAGGCACTTATCATCTACAAGGAAAAGTTTTGTCGCGAAATGTCGGTGGCGCAGATCGTCCACCCCGCCCATTGTCCAATTCATCGACTCGTATGAAATTCTTTCCCTTTGCATATCCGTACTCTCTCTTCAACCAACGCCTTATAAGAAGATCGCTATCATCAATTGCAACTCACTTACTGATACAGCTGATGGGTAGCAAATAGATACATTTTTCTGTCAGTTAGGGAAAGTTATACGAAATGACAATGCGTGTTATAAATTTATTGTCGGAGTCTTCAACGCCAGAATAGAAAAGGCCAACGAGAACGATCACAGGACCGAAGAATTTACGTTTTCAGAAAGAAATGAGAATGGAAACCATCTTACAGGACTCCTGTCTATAGCACGCTTCCACAGAAACTGATTTTTCTAGAAGAAGGAACGTCGCAGCTGGATATGGGAATCTCCCAGCAGCACAACTCACGAGGAAATCGACAATATTTTGACAAACAGAAAATGGTGCCCATTTAATACATCGGTGGTGCCGTCATTTTGCACTGGTTCTGATCACCGCCTTCTTCTCGCGAAGATTCGATTCAGTCGTAAGCTGGTGACGAGAACATTCTGAACAAATTCCTTTCTAAACGTGATTGGGAGATTAAGGAAGACCCGACCGAAGGCTAAGAGCTGTTGTCGAAGGATTGAAAAGTTGTGTCGAATTCGCCTCAGTTCCCCAAGCAAGAAGATCGGATCGCATGTCAATTACCACTAAGAAGTTGTCCGAGTAGAGAAGGAAAGTGAAGCTTGATCCTGCTGCAAAACGTTTAACACGGCTAGTAATAAATTCCAGTTGTAGACAAGCTTTGCAAGGAGATCTACTTCGGCACTGGCAGAGGAAACTTGGAAGCAGCACAAAAGAGAACCAGTCCGAAAAAATGCAGTCGGCACTTCTGTGTTAATATTATTCCGCTGTTAGCACTGATAAACGAAGGTGGAATCACCAAAACCTCCTGCCATGATATGGATTTAATAATGGAAAGTTCTACACCAACCTTTTCCGTTCCACAGTCCCCGTCCTAGACTTTAAAATCACCGCTGAGAAAGACCACCTGGAATTCTTCCCTTTGAGGCTCGAGCTGGGATAGAAAACGTGGAAAAAGGCTCCACCCGGGCCCCGATAATACCACCGCCAAATTTCTTAGAGCTAGAAACCACAACTTACATGTACTTCTTGTAAACCTTGTGACAGTCTGCCTTTAAAAAGAAAAAATTCCAGGCCAGTGGAGGACGTCGCGCACGGTTATTCTGTCCAAGAACTATGACCGACGGTATCTTCATAACTCTGGTCCTATATGCTTGTTGAATGTGTTCTACAAACCCTTGACGAAGATTATCTTGTTGCGCATATTAAGGACACGGAATGAGGCAACAGTTGAACAATCAGGATTTTGAAAAGAATTTTTCTCCTCTGACGACGTCCAAACCGTGTCCACGGTCATTTAAGTTTGTTGGGAATACCATGTGCTCCTAATCCTAACTTTTGTCTACTAAAAAAGTGTTTGACAGCGTCGAAACAAATGCAATCCTATCAGCGCTCCTCGACCAAGGAGTGGATCCGTCTTACATAAGAATTCTGTCTGACTTTTATCGGAACTATACTACGAAAATACAGCTTTTCCATAAGCCTCTTAGATACCCATAGGAATAGGGGTTCAACAGGGCGATACAATATTACCAAAGCAGTTTATTGCAGCACTGCAGTGAGTGATGGAGTCAATTGGGATGAGAAAGGCATAGGCGTCTAAGTAGGTGAAATTCCGATCGGATGGATGCTGTTCTTGGTTCCGCCTTATTCGTACCGAAGATGGACCATTTAAGCATCAAGCATTTAGCACATATTTTCCTTTTACCATATTTTTACTACATTACTCGACATGATATATATCGCGCCGCATGGATCCCAGCACTTTCTGCATTCAGTTCCTATCTTCGCCTCACCATGCATGAAGGTCTGTGAATTTTGCTGTACGTGATTTCTGCTGCAGCTTAAGGCTTTGCCGTCGCCGTCACGAAGGTCGCTGAGGACTCGTTAAGTTGATTCTCCCTGGAATGTAGGGTTAGCAGTGATAGAGGATGCTCACGTGATCTGAAGGATAATAGATCTAGTAGGACTCAGGGCGAGATTGAACTAGCGCTTGGCTGGATTGGACCCTTGGCGTAATGAACATGTTCACTACCACTACATCATCCACTCTCATCAAGCAAGTAGCAAACAATTAAACATGGTGATTACAAGTCTGAAGAATACTGATATGAATAGGAATTTTAAATTCCACATGCCTTTGCTTAGTGATCCCTTCGAATTCGATGTGAAAAAGTGGTGGTGTAGTTACAGCGTTAGCTTGTTCTACGTTGACCACGCAATTTCATAGAATATTCTGATATTTTCTATATGTCTACACTTCAAATGATGAGCAGTGAAGATCCCACCGTTCGAAAATGTTTCGATCTTCTTGGAAATATACGTCATCGGGTATGCCTATGCTATAATTATGGGTATATGAATGCGTCGTTTTGTTGTTCAGCAGTCGCGAGGTTTTTAAACAGCATACATTTACTTCCATAGAAAAACACAATACAATACAACGCCAGCTGACGTTTCGGCACTATCGCCTTCTTCAGAGCCTGGAAGGCTATACTGATATACAGTCTACTAGGCCAAACGCTTCAATAACACTTACAAAAAGACGAAAAAACTCTATGGTAATTACACGATCAACAGCTTCTCGAAAAACACCGCTTACTTCCAATGAGGAAGATTAGAACAGCTGATTATAGTCGCATATAGTTGATGACTGTACCATCCCACATCAGAAATTGATGCGAACATACGGGGTAAGGTCGCGTATGACCTCTGGGCATTCATCCCTGCTATTCATTGTAGGGTTTTTGGTATTTATCCAAAAACCCCCAAGAAGTTTTCGCGCTGGTGCTTTAGTCTCCTGTCCAAGGATATTGACTTTTACTTCAAAATCGTCTCTGCTATGCTTTTGTATGTACACACAGGTGGCTGTTCGAAACATGTTTCTCACAATCGCCCTCTTTGTGTGTGAAGGGTGGGAAGAAAGGAAATGGGCGAGGATGCTCTTGTTGCTTGGCTTTCGGCACCACTTTGTCAAGTAACCGCTATTTGATAGGTTTATTTGAACGTTCAAAAACGGAAACCAGTTTTTTCTCGGTTTCTCCCGTGATTATGGGTATATGTAGCAGTGTGGCCAGAAGTGCCTTGCGTGGTTGATCTTGCGCTCTGGACCAATCCCTCCATCCATACAGGACTAGAGAATTGGTATCAAACTTGTCTGGGAGGATAAAAAACTCTGACCTGCTACATCAGTAGTCTACCGCAGATTGTTGTACAGACCAGATATGCATTCATTCACCCCTACGTTGTTCAACACTACGCGAGCACCGTGAGCGGATTTCAATTCATTTTCTTGCGGTCATTTATTTCCCTGTGTAATGGTTTTCAGTTGCTTTCTGTCATTAATCGATAGCTTATCCATCGCTGCGATCAGTGGAAGTTGATATCCACTCTCAGCGACTGCACCGAAAATGTGGAGATCCAATAGATCTTCGCAGTTGTTCCCTTGTGGCAATAAGAAATTAGTCGACGTTGAGTATATTTATTCTTTTTTCTTTTCGAAGTGACTACGTCTTTATTTCGTATTAATGCTATCGAAAAAGATGAACAGCTCGTATATTTCATTCATTGTACTAGTGAAAAATGACAGCCAAGGGTAGGCAATTCTCAAGACGGTGGCGGTGGTGGCGGAGGATTGTCGCCGAGACGAATGTTCTCATAATCACCATCGCCACCCTGAAAAAGAAAACGTAATCAACATCGAACAGATATTGTTGATTAGAAACCAACTACTGTCGTATTAAGCCACATCACATTAATCTGATTGGTTCGTAACAAATTCCGAAATGGTATCATCCACTCACCTATCGGCTGAAAACCGCATAGTACTCATGGGTACCTACTCAACATCGTTCGTGGAAGTCTTTATGGGATCATAATTGATCGTTACCGTTATATCATTACTCTTATGTTTTAGTCCATGTGGGTCACCGTAGCTAGGCCATTCTCGCGTGTCGAACAGCGATATATGACGGAGGAATAAAGAGTCACCCGACCTGGGAACGGATTCGAAATTTCTTTACGAAAACTTATCTATCAGTAAGCTTACTCCACAGGGGTACTCTGTGTGCTTCATGTGGTTGTTATTACGACTAAAATGGTGGAGATAAACAGTTTTTTTTTACCAAAAGCGTGATGTTCTTCGTGTTCTTAGAATGAGAAATAGGAACCCAATCAGGAGTTTGGGACCTCAAACCTGAGAGACTGGAGATCTCCATGTTCAATTAAAATCATGAATAACGAAATTACAGTTGATGCAAATGACTTCTACCAGCATTTCTCATAATTGTCAATTACGATAATGCTGAAACTCACGTTTGTAAATATATCTTGTTTACACCACTCACATCATTTCCTGCGGGTGCTGGGGCACGTAGTATAGGACCAGGAGCAGGAGGAACAGGAGCAGGAGCAGAAGCAGAAGCAGGAGCAGGATCAGGTTTACCAGAAGAAGGTGGTTCTGACCTTGATGAGGCTCCTGCTTTCGTGGATTCTAAATAGTCTCGTGGCGAATTTTCTTTGAAAAAGAAAACAAACAAATGTTTTACTTCTGTGCTATCGACTATCGCGTGACACGATGTAGGATAACGGCTGTATCAGGGTTAGCGAAACCCGTAACTAATCTTTCTTAAACTTTTGCTTGTCCTTAAGCATGACCGTTACCATATGTACTAATTAGGTATGTAATGCATGCAGTCGTTTACGTCATGACGAAAGAGCGAAATCCGCTTCACGAACCTCTCACTTCCTTCTTTGCTTTACAGAGGACGAGCGAATAGTGAACAATTAGGTGAATTCCTAATAGATTTACGAGTATTGTCCCGATTTCCTGGAATCGATTCGTACACGAGACAGATGTCATGTTGAACATACCTAGATGACGATTTCCTCGACACTGTAATGTTTTGAACCATAGAAAATAAATCTTTCACTTGTCATATTCCGTCTTCCAGTCAAAAATTGCCTCCTTAGAACCTTAGTTCTTTTCATATAAACCCAAAATCATAAAGGATAAAAAGCATAAAGCTCTCGGCGTTGATTGAATGTATATCTGGCCTTTACAATGATTCGCGCTCGCTGCCCGATGTGTCGACCCAGTGCTGCTATCCTTTCAGACAAATCTGGTACCAATTTGCCGACCCCGGAGGGATGGAGGGCTTGGTGGGCCATGGGCGGGGATCGATTCCTCGTGTGCGTTGAACGGCGCCTCCGACCACTGCGCCACATAGACCCTACCCAAAACCATACTACTGACAAACATATTTATTCCTCAGTCAAAAAATTATAACCAGATGTCAAGTCCCTCGTAGTCGTAAATGAAGAATACACCATTGATGCAAGAGATCGACAAAGATCTAGTTGAAACTTGGACTTACCATCATATTTACGTCTTCTAATTGAATATGCACCGCTCAGTAGAAATGAGCGTAATGAATTGCTAATCCACAAAGCGGTAAAGATAATTACATAACGTAGTACGTTAACGAACACAACATTTACTGTTAAGAAATTTGCCATGATGCTTGTTCTTAGACAACCGACCGTATAGAGGATAAAGCTCTCGGCGTTGATCAATCTCTAAGGGATGCGCCGTATACTTGACTTTATTAAGCTTCGTTGGAGGTGACTAAGTGCATATTTGGCCTTTACAATGACTCGCGGTGGCTTACCAATGTATGGAGCCATTATTGCTATTCTCCTAGACAAGTTTGGCACAAATTTTCCGACCTCGGAGGTATGGAATGCTCAAGGGACCATGGGCGCTGGGATCGATCTCATGTGCGTTGCAGGGTGCCTCCGACCACTGCTCCACACGCTCCCTTAGAAAAACCGACCGTAATCTCTGTATAAGTAGTGTGAGCGAGGAGTTCAGAGTTTCACAAATTTTTGGGAGAGGGACAACTCTTGCGCTTTAAGATATACAATCTTTAAGAAATACAACGAAAAAGATGCTGAAATATAAGCAAAACTCGGAACCTTAACCCTTTAATTTACTGCCTTTTTTTTTAATGGCAAGGTTTTTTTTTAATGGCAAGGTATGTTGCGAAATATAACTCGTATATAATGCCGAGATATTTGCAAAACTCCGGACCTCAGGTGTTTGCGGTGGGAACGCGTGTATGAACGCGCGCTATTGTCCTTACCAGCGAGTAGCGCACTTCAGCACCACACCATCCGGGTCCTTCGTTTTGCCTGTCTCTCAGCTAGTTCTATCGATCTTTTTTGCCATCAGCAATCACCCGTCAAAACTAACCTCGGAACCTCAGGTGTGCTTCGAACCCGACTACAGCTTCGACTACAGTTTCAGCTTAACTTTGTTCAATGGCGACTTGTTCTCCGCGGATCATAGCCGTTGATGAGTAATTGTGATGGCACTGATAGAGTTAAAACATCGCTCAGAGAAAGGCAAAATAAAGTCATTAGTGGTGCGCTGGATTGCATGTGTGTGAACCTCCCGCACGGGTAATCGAGGGATCGTAGTCCAGCTGAAGCCCCAGTTCTGCTCATGTTTTAGCAACCTTGCGGTTGTACTTCACAGCATACCTCGCCAAAAAAACACAGCAGATAAAATGTTAGGACTTTATGAAACACCTCTTCCTTATCGAATAGGTTCAGAGGGCTCAGTAAATTCAGAAAGAAATTCGTACTTTTGAGACTTCCTACACAAAAGCGACAACAGCACAGCTCAATGGATAGGCCCATCATGCCCTGCCACATGAAATTCAGCTTTTCCAATTCCTTCAATGTTAGGAAGACGACCCTCACGAAATAAGACATCTAACTTGTCTCGTGGGTTCTAAAAAATCGGAATTCCGTGTAGTTAAAGTGAGAAAAATCTGCATCCTCTAGGGGAAAATCTTTAGATTACAGTTGTTTTTATTTTCAATCAATGCAGTTCGCTGTGAGCTGAGGTTGGAAGTGCCCACCATTCTCGTAACATATGACTCCACAACGAAGTCAGATTATCGCATATGTGTTAAAGGATAAAAAGGATAAAGCTCTCGCCGTTGATTAACCCCTGAAGGAGAGAAGGGATGCACCATGCATTCCTCATTAAGCATCGTTGGAGGTGATTAAATGCATTTCTGGCTTTCACAATGACTTGCGGTGGCCTTACGATGTACCGAGCCAGTTCTGCTACCCTACCAGACAAGTCTGCTATAAATATGCCGACCCCGGAGGGGAAGGGTTTGGTAGGCCTCGAACGCGTGGATCGATCGCACATGCGTATTTCAGGGCGCATCCGACAACTGCGCTAGACATATATTAGTTAAAGGCTTTGAAATACCTGACACCGTTCCGTTATTTGTAACTACCAATCTAAAACTAGAAAATAACCAGATTTCTCTCGATGTTAAAAAACAGTTAACATCCACCACTGAACTTGAGAAAACTAGACAGTTTCTTTGACTCCGTAGAAATTCGAGCGAATTTCCTACCACATTTTCTAGCTTGTTTTCAATATTTTCTTTGAAGTTGGCTAAATCGTTGTTTAGAAATGTTTCAAACCCTGCCGATGTTCAAACCAACCATGAGACATTTTTAGCCCACTTTTTATTCTTTTACAAATTCCAATGCTCTCAGTGAACGACAAATCGCTGCAAAGTCAGATTTTATAATATACAAGAATTGATTTTTTTTTGTGATGGGCTTATTGTTATAGTATTCAATTTGCATAAAACTCTGTGGATGGATGACATCCAATAATAATGTGTTAAAACATGGAAAAGACATGGAAAACAAAGTATAAAATGAAGTCCAAGTGATTGCAAGTCGCCGGCGATTGAGCAAGCACAAATCTGGAACAACTGTGAATAAGTACCTGTCCATGACAAATTGAAAATCCAGAGATAAATAGAAATCTACATACTTACAGAATTATTCATTTCAATCTCTCTACCTTGTGAAACCAGCAACATTTTTTAAGGCCCAGTTAAAATTCCCTTCCATTATTCTGTTACTCATACTGTGCCACGCCTAATTCATTTCAGCGACATTCATCCAATTTCAGAAATTTGAAACACAATAAACCATGGAAGTCAGAAAACATAACGATGAGAACGAAACAGAAGCATTACTAAGTTGCTATACCGAATTAAGGGCAGTGTTAACTCGTAACTTCATACAGTTCATAAAAACGAGCTCACCTCACAACTGTAGCATGCGAACGTCCAGTCACGACCGAGACTCCGCAGCAGTAATAACCACAATAATTAATGAATGGTTTCGCATTCATCTAACAAGGCACGAGATAAACAACAACAACAGAACGGGATGGTCGTACGTGGACTTTCGAGACGACGCCAAACGTGTCCTACTAGCCAACAAGAACATAACACAAGACAATGAAAGAGAAGACTGTTAGAAGAGAAGATGATAGTATGAAGACGAACTCACAGATGATGATAAGAAAAGAGAACAGAAGATAATAGCTAGGGAGGACAAAAACTAGATGAACAGAAGATTTAGACAGACTATCAAAAAAAAAAAAAAACAAAGAGAAAAGAACATCGAGATCAGCTACTACCGAAAATTTCTATAATCGATAGATTAATACCATATACATGATACGAGAACCGAACACACAAAAACGTTCATAATTAGTGGGAACGACCAAATCTCATGACGTTCCATTTGCCAATGTGACGAGAAATAAATATCAAAAAATAAAATAGTAATCAACGCCGAAGAATTTGAAAGTTAATAAATTAGCTAGAACCAGTATTACTGTTGCTGCGGTGGCGCGGTCGAAGGGGTACTTTGTGGTGCTTGTTGCTGCTGTTGAGGTGGTGGAGGAGGAGCTCCTAAAATACAATTTTAAAAAGGAAAAGCATATTTTCATCTCCTCGGATACCTCGATTCTTATAGTATTTCGATACTCGTAGCAGTCAAGAAGTGTAAAAACATGTACCCGGTCCCTGCTGCGGATAAACACCTTGTTGGGAGGAATTCTGTCGCGACATTTGGTTCGGTGGCGGTTGTTGATAGAATGGCGTTGCTAAAAAATATCACTAACTAAAACAGGTATATGCAAACCTGTTAATAAAAAACGTCCTCTAAAGTCACCTACTCATCAAAACTTCTTGGACGCGGCTCTAATGTTTCAAGGACTCATTAATGGAGACTTTAAATTAGTCCAATACTCTAAGTGCTAACCTTGTACAAAGTTCCCATATCCTTCATGCGGCATTGTGTATTGCTGATGATGAGGTGGTGGAAGACCACCACTACCCTGCTGCTGCTGCTGATGTGGCTGTTGCATTATAGTAGGATCATGATGGGCTGGCTGCATTGCCATGGGCACACCACCTGGTCCACTATAGACGACCATTCCTTGACCAGTCGGAGCCGAATACATACCATAGACCTGCACAATTATTTACACACATCTTAATGATTAATTTAGAAAACAAAACACCTGAACTTACAAGTTAAAGAAACAGACAAATAACTTCCGTATTGTAAACTTAAATCCATAAGAGCTAAGCTACAGCTTCAAACCGCAACAAAATAACATAGTGTTGCACATGTTACCAATGACTAATGAGATATCTTTAATTGAAATTAAGAAAATATGAACAAGCATGCACATATTTCAAAACTGCAACATCGTCATGCTCATGCCACAAAAGACGTACCGGCTGCGCAGTCGCATAAAAATGAGGTGGTGGGGCCGCCGACACTTGGGCCATGAACTGTTGTGGTGGCGGTGGTCCTACTGATTGTTGCATAGCTCCTGTTGCCTGTTGAACGGGAGAGCCGCCACGTCCACCCTATGACCTTACACAATCACAACAAAAACCGTTTGGTAAACACCACTCGTAATGGGAAATATCAAATGTCACATTCAATTCTTCTAAACACTGCTGAACGGCAAAATAATGATGAATTTTCTGGTTTCAGTAACACAACGACAACGGTATAGGTATTACTGGAGAATTAACCATTTGTTTTTGTAGCTTTGGAGAATAGAAAAAAAGGACTAAGTTAAACGTCTCGGTTTGAACAGAAAGCTAGAATGAACGTAAATGGCTAGATTCAGATCAATAACGATAAGTTAGACAGGAATACGAGAATCTTCTATACGACGCGACTTATTTAGCCAATAAGACCTATACCAACTACACCCATACCACATGGAAAAACTAAAACAATAGAGTATTGGAGTGTTGAGACTTAAGCATCCACATCAGAACTCACTCTTCTCGTGATGTATCGATCAGCAAGCACAAACAAAAGCAAACGAATAAAAAATGGAAGAAAGAAATAAGCCGCCCGTAACAATGGATACGCGATCAGACATCTGCTCATTAAACAACATTTGCTTCCTTGAGTTTATTTGTCATTAAAAAAAACAGAATGCACAAAATTGCAAGTCTTTGATTCTTCGTGTAATCGAACTGAAAGCATAACAGGAAATACCTGTGCTGGGGAAGGCCCTGGCGTTGGTGGCTGGCTGTTTGGACCGGTCGATGTCGCAGCAGATCCAGAAGCACCTTGTGCTACAATACTTAACAGCATTAACAATGCGTCAGCACATAGTTTCTATATATGTCCACGAAATAATACAAGTTACAGTAATGTTTTCTATTACTGCAGGGATCTTCAAAGAGTTATACAAGCACCTTAGCCCAATATGTGAAGAACGCATTGTTCATAACACGCTATACCTAAAAAAAGCAGTACCTACAGGATTTGATGCGATATATTTCTACAGGAGGAAAATTTCCATGATCTTCACTTTGTGTTAACACAGTGCACCATGTAAGTATGGAACGAGGGTAAGAGTATGACTGGGATATCAAAACTTTGTTAATGCTCTGGAGTTTAACAGTTATCGCCCGATGTGAATTAGTTTGTACTCATTTCTGCCCCAAAATAAAAAATACACGGATCGTTGACAACGATTTTTATTCTGCCATTCTAGTCCTATCAGGAAGGTTCGAAAAAGTTCTTTCGTTTTTGACACTGTTCTTAACTCAAATAGCAAAGCGATTAGATAGACAGCATTTCATCCAGGAGATATGATGATGTCCTCCAGTACATTTGTGATGTTTGCTTTAAATGAACATTATATATAATGTAAAATATGTACATTATATATTACATATATATATATATATATATACATACACACATACATACATACATATGTACATACATACTTGGATATTTGGATGACCCGTCCTCACTAGTCGTGCGTGCCCCATCATAACCTCCACTTAGTAGGAGTTTTGGTGGTTTAGCCACTGTGGTCCACTGGAGTCCCGAGGTGAGCTCGGCCGAAGTCTTCCCCAGATCGTCACCACCACCACAAGCAGTGATCGCCCTCGTGGATCAGAGGGAAATTTTCCAACACGCGACTTTTATACCAAGACCGTGGTGGATTCGTTTACTCTTAGCTAGGCTTCCTGATGGAAACACCGGACTCCTCAGCTTGGGAAACACAACGGGGGAATAAATCTCACCGCTGCACATCACAGTCCGACACACATCTCTCAGCCAGATGAGGAGGTAAACCGGTGGTAGGTACATATACATATATATATATATATATATATATATATATATATATATACATATACCTATACATATATATATACACATGTATATACATATGCATATATATGTATATATGCATATATATATATATGTATATATAGGGATGCGTGTGGCGCTCTGAAACACACAAGTGGAATCGATCCCACGGCCCATGGGCCACCAAGTTTTTCATCCTTCCGGGGTCGGCAGATTGGTATCAGACTTGTCTAGGAGGATAGCAGCACTGCTGGCACGATAAATCGATAGGGCATCGCGCGTTATTGAAAAAGCATGATATGCATTCAATCACCTCCAAACGTTGCTTAGTGAAGTAGAATGCATGGTGCATCTCTCAGGTATTGATCAACACCGAGAGCTTCATCCTTTTATTTATGCATATATATATATATGAATATACGTAGAAATATATATATATATCCACGGATCTCCCTCATATGAGGGATCTCAAGCCGGTTAGACGCGAGGCTACGTGGCGCGTCCCCAGGTGGCGGATAGCGGGTTAATCGCGGACCAAAAGCGACCTTTGCTTCCCTGAGACGCAGGTGGATCCAGGAGATGGACTCCCTGTTTATGCTGCGCTGATTTCGCACAGACTTTCTGTATTTGCTACGCATATTCATGCATGCGTGTGTGGATGCGTTTTTGCTTATGCGGATTGTATTCTACGAGTCAAATCGGTAAAAGCCTGCAATCAAGTGACTTGGAAGTATGTGGGAGGCGGTTAGGAGTTGCCTCCAAAAAATAAGCTCCATGTCCACTCTGGGAGAGCCTGGCAAGCTACCCGTGGGTATACCCAGCCCCCACGTTCAGAGCCCAGCAAGCTATACGTGGCTATCAAAAAATGCTAAACACAGTAAAAAGAACGGACCTCATTCCCCTGACTCCGAAAGAGCCCCCAATTTCGCAGCGTTTTGTAGGACGAGTAAGGAGAGGCTGCTAAAATCTCAGGCCCAATGTAAGCTGCCTTGATTTCAAAGAACTATGGTAACGATCTGTACCTACAACACACGTACACTTGCATCCGAGTCCTCGATAGAAGACTTGCTCATGCGAGCAAGAAGGATAAAGCACGACGTCATCGGCCTGACCGACACGAGAAGACGCCAGCCTTTCGACGCCATCTGTGACATCGGAGAAGAACTGTTCATCAGAACATGCGACAGTAGAGGAGTCGGCGGCGTCGGAAATCTCGTCAAAACGAATTTGTCCATGAACATCGATTCATTCGAACAACTTACAATCTGAATCGTATGTTTAGATGTGGATCAATTCCGGCTTTGACGATCTTCGTCGTACGTACCGACATCAAACTATGACAAACAAGAAGTTGAAGCGTATCTTGGACTTGGAGAAGTTCTACAGAGAAGATCACACATTCTTCAACGTCATCATTGGAGATTTCAACGCCAAGATTAGACCGAGATAGACGTCTGAAGAACGTCAAATTGGGAACCAGTGATTAGAATGGAACAATCAGGGTGACCGGCCATCTGAGTTTATCGCGGCGACCAAGACAATCCATGGTAACTCGTAATTCAAGAAATCCACCCTCAGCGCTGGACGTGGGAGTCTTCCAATGGAGAGTACCATAACGAAATAGACCACATCAATGTAAATAGAAGGTTTTGCCTAACCGATGTCGCTGTTGTCCCAAAATTCTACACGGGATCAGGCCATCGTCTCCTTCATGCAAGATTCCATTACTCGCGGAAAGGAGAAAGAGCCGCTAAATTCCAAAACCGAAGTCCCAGAACCACCGTAAATTGGGATTTTTTCAATTCATTTGTCGGCTGTTGGGAAGATGCCGTTGTCAATAACATCGAAGAAGAATATGATCGGCCCATTCAACATCTTCACACTAATGCTATGAAAGCTCAGAGTTCGAAAGTCACCAAGAGACGTCTGTCTCCAGAAACGAAACGCTCGAGTTGCTACGCCAGCAAGGAACCGCACGAGCTGCAGGCAACCGCGAACTAACGTCCGAACTTGCAAAACAAGGTAGACAGGCGATAAATGAAGATCTTAGAGAGAGAAGAGCAGCAGTAATAGCCGAAGCTGCAGAGGGTAGGAAAAGCATTCACGAAGCCCACCGAATTCGCCAATTACAAGACCAAAATGACTGCACTCTGGCGCTCTGACGGAACAGTTACAGCGACCAGAAAGGCAGTGGAAAAATCATTCACGAATACTACTCAGATCTCTTGGACGGCCACGTCTATCCTCCGTCATATGAAATAAAGGAGGACGGATATGTTGTACCACCGGTTCAACCTTCCGAAATATGCCATTTCGTCGGCAAAAAATTGAACAGCACCAGGTCCGGACAGCATAAGACTAGAACACCTGAAGAACCTGCCAGTCCTCGTAAACACGATGACTCGGCTCTTCAAATGTTACCTGTCTGAATGCAAGGTCACTTTTACATATATGTACATTGTACATACATGTACGTGTGTATGCACATGTACACATTTTGTATATGTAAATATATCTGTAGAACGACATCGGCTTGCCAAGATACTAACTACTGAAGCACTATGGTTAGCCAGAAATCTTCAGTACCTAAATTGCGTAACAAGCAACCATACAACCTAATTTATGGGAAGCACTATTTCGCACTTCTGCATAATCGAGGATTTTTCTACTTCTTTAACTTCATAAATAATGTTGTTTACATTTCATAGGCATTGTCATTTTTCCATTTATGAACGAAAATTTCTTATTTGAATTAATGTCAGCAAGTTGAAAGGTCGTTCTTCATTGAATGTTTAAACTGGAAACCAAATTAAATGTTTTCGGATAATATCTAAACCACCGTAACTACAAAGGCTGATATTGATTATTAATATTCGCCTCTTTTACTACCTGGAAAAATTAAGCGGCGCAACTTTAGAAAAGATCTTACCTTGAAAATGTGCAGCTTCCATCCCTTGGTGTGGTGTTTGTTGTGGCGTTGGGAACCGCGCCTGTGCTTGAACGCCAGTCTGTGGAAGAACGTAGCCCTACAAGGTCTCTCTCATAATCTTACCTACCACTAAGTTCACTCTCCAAAGGAGTGTAAGTAAAGGAAAACTAATACCTGGGCAGGAACAAAACGCTGCGGATATATACCCGGCGGTGGTGCCGTAGCTTGCGGGGTAGTTGGCATCATCTGTGGTGGAGGCGCTTGCGGCCCAGAGAAGCCGGCTTGCTGTGCAGGAGCAGGAACAACTCCAGCACTAGCACCACCGGAGGCGCCACCTTGCACAGAGAAAGACTGGTAGGTATATGGTACCTCAAAATCAAGTGTTAATGATAAATAAAGACCACATAAAAATGAATCCCAGAAAATTCACCATTCCTTGTCCGACTTGCATAACGTGAGGCTGCCACTGAGCTGAAGGAGGGACCATCACTAAACAGTGAATAAATCTAATCACAAATATTTACTTCCTCTATTAACTGCCTAACCCTGGCGACGACTACCCTGCTGGAAAGCGACCGCAGGAGGACCACTGGGTCGCGGACCACCCATTGCCATGGGTTGGCTTGCCATCATGCTTACCGGTTGACCACCAGCCACAACATATTGATATCCAGGCATCTAAATCAATCATTGACACACACGGTGCCATTCAGAACTGTAGAACATACCTGGTACTGTTGGCCAGGAGCACCTTGCCACTGTACAAGTACAGGAGGCTGACCAGTCTGCATTGTCGGTAACATACCGGGAGGAGGCATAGCCGTCTAAGAACGTAAATTCCTACGTTGGCAAAAAAGCATATTTGGCCAAAGAGCGCAAGATTATTGAAAATTGGAATATAAACAACACTGTATTCGTAACCACAATGTATAACTTTTATCTACTGCCCATTTTTTCATGGCGGAGTAATATATGCTGATGGCAACGTAAGGGTAAAAATACTGGCAATGAGAGAGATAGAAAAACGGCTTGTGGCCCCGTGCGTAACATGTGAGCGTCTGGAAACGATAATTGCGGTTTGATCTGGTCTGAGGTCTAAGTTTTGCAGACATCTCAGCACCACTGTGACTATATTCGTAGTACATCAGGAATTAACCCAAAGCTTTTCCAAACCCTCCAATTCACTTTCAAAGGCTTAGTTTGCCTACAAATGCAACCAATTTTTTTTTATTAACACCACGGTGTTCATGAGAAAACGAATACTTCCTAGTTCTTTTTCTTTTTTTTCAATTTAATATGATCCGTCTTTCACACATACTGCGAATTTCAGTACTTCTCAGATTCAATCCGTTTCCTTGCATCCATCATCTACAAAAGTCTTCAAACTTTAACGTGTGGCTTCGGTTGCTGCTTGACGATTTCCATTTCACCTTGAATGTCGTAGAATGCTGGCCGAGCAATTCTCCCTGAGTCCTGAGACAGCCGGGCTGGCGCGTTCCTAATTGGATTGCAGGGAGTGATTTTTTCCGAACAAATCCTGTACCAATTTCCCGACCTCGAGGGGATGAGAGGCTTGGTGAGCCCGAAACACGATCGAACCAGCACCGCGCTTGTGATGGTCGGCATCACTACGACTGTGCTATCTGCCCCCTGCATTTGCTACTTTTAGCAAATGTTGGTTCCTGAACATGTCCTAAGAATTTTCTTAGTATGGTAGTGCAAATAGAAAGCTATTATCATTTTGGATAAAAAGACTACATTTACATCAAGTACAAACTACCTCAACTACTTGTCTCATTATATAATTTCAAGAGCGGCCGTACAAAAAGCTTCATAGTTTTGCATCCCACGAGATATGGCAAAACCGTTTTATGAAAACCGACATAACTACTTCGCTTCGACAAGCACTTACTTGAATAGGGACTCCAGCTGGTACCATAGGGACAGCACCCAACATGGCCTGTGGCGCTGCAGGCACAACTTGTGGAGATTGTTGCATTTGAGCTGTTGCGCTACGTGGTTTGAACGCTGGTGCGTTTACATTGAATGTGAACTTCTTCGTGCTGAAAAAATGCGATTTCTTACGGTCCGTCCTCACTACCGGATTCTAAAAAAGCATGAAAAAGATAAAATCCCGTCGTACTACCACTGATTCGCCCGCAAAAATAATGAGCAGTTAACTCATAAGATCCAATTTTCACTACTCACTGAGCAAAAATTTTGAAGATAGATGTTTTCAACAAGTTGTCCTTTTAAAAAGTAGAAAACCGTACCCCTCTTCCTTCTCCGTGGTCACAGCAGGTGTTGGTGCTGAATCCGATGTAGTCTCATGTGTTGGTGCCCGCCCACCCGAATTCGACGCTGGCGCTGGTGTTGGCGTAGGAGTCGGTGTTGGCGTCGGAGTAGGTGTTGCAGCCACTGTTGGAGAACTTTCGGTTTGTGGAGAAGAAGTAGTTGTAGAAGATGCATCAGGAGGCTTAATGAAATAAATTTACAGTCACAAATATTGTAAACTACAAAATTAAAGAAAAAATCAGATGGGGCAGAAGGCACATAAGAGCGCCGTAAAAAAAGAACCGGTTTAATAATTAATTATGGTGTGGAAGATCCCAAACGAAACTTTTCAAACTTGATTCATTTTATTTTTCACGAAAAATATTTCCCTACGTTATAACTTTTATTATGAAATGTATCTTCGTAGCAATTTTCACCTGGTCATTGGTAGAGTTTGGCACAGGATCAGGAGTACGAGTTCCAACAGTACGTGGAGGTGAGGCTGGTATGGGAGTGGCTGAAATTGTTAACACACGTTATCGAATGTCCTCCATTGCACAATCGATCGTGATGGAACGATGAGATGAAGAAAGCGGCACACATAACACAGACGAAATATGCTCACTATGTTGAGAGTTATGCATGTTGGTTACACTAGTTGGAGGGCCCCTAGCCCATGCGTTGCCAGTCGGGGCAGCGGGAGCAGCACGAGCCGGTGAATCCCGAGGCGTGTCCACCTGTGTGCAATCTTTATAACAAAAAAAAAATAAATAAATAAGAAGAAATATTCACAAACACCTAGTTCCCAACAAGTTTCTTTTTTGCATTATTGCTTAGCAATTTGACATACAACTAAAAGAATAGAGGGTGCAAACCTTGCCCTCTGGTCGGTAATTGTTGTTAAATTCTTGATTCCACCCTCGCAAACCATCGGCTCGTCGAGCAGCGGCTAAAAACGATTTGTTTTTTTCAGCACATGATAAAGAATGAACGCTGAAGACGAGAAGAGATAAACATTGTAACACTATGTAGTAGAGAATAGCTTTGAACCCCGCCTTGCTGAGATTTCGTATCTGATGGTGCATTACGAGTTGATGCACTGGAACGCGGCTCCAAAAGTACTGAAATATGGACAACATGAATAGAAATTGTGAGTAATGAAGAAAATAAACTTAACTTACTTTTTGTAGACTGACTCTGCCCTTTATTCTCATAAGTTTTCTGGGTTTGTGAAGAATCTCTGCGAGGATTTCCCTCTTTGTTTGATGAAAACTCTGTAAAAACCGTTTAAAAAAGGGCACAACCATCTGAGATCTGCAAAAACCTGGATTCAAATAAGTGGTACGACCTCATGGGGGCACAGGAAATAGAAGAAAAAAGACTACACGCAACAACTTTCCGAAATAATTCGGAGAAATTTCCTCTACTATTGCATACGAAAAGCAGAACAGAATCGGATTTTTTTTCTTTGTTTCCCTTAATGATGAATAACAGGACGTGCCCACCCTAAAGGAAGATGTAAAAGAATATATAGGTGTCCTCGAATAACCACTTTATAAAAATGAAAAACGTACCGTTAAAGCTATCCGTAAGTTCTTGAGCAGTTGGACGACTTTTCGGTTCGTACTTGTTACCAGACATCACTCTGTTTTGAGACGAATTTACGCTATGTGATTGTGCTGGATACCTTCCCGGTGTTCCACTACCTCTACCTGAATTAACTACGTACGGAGAGCTAATTCCTTGAAATGCCTAAGCATTACCTATCACACTGGATTGGTCGGTAACTGGTAAGAAAAAAAACCGAACAAGCACAACTGTAAAGAGGTTTCCTGAGATAAAAAACGTTTAGGTAGAAACAACTTACGATCTGTCCCTCTGAGAGCATCAGCACGACGATTACCCACTGGTGGACCACCGATACCATTGCGCTGGTTGCGACTAATGTAATTACCACTGAAAACTACCAGAAAGGTGTGAAAGTAGTCAGACAAACAATACCATTTCGGGCGAAACAGTTGAGATACCACAAAATACTGTTGAACTAACCGCTGTCCTGCGATGCTTCGTTTAGATTGCATCTCAAAATCCTCCTCCGTTGTCTGCTTGTCGAGATCACGCTCGTCATCATCGTTCTCCAGACGTGCGTTAAATTTGCTCTGTTGGCTACTTTCTATTTCCCTAGCAATTTGGTCTGCTCGACGACGATCCTCTTCATTACCCTCCACGGGTGCACTACAAAAAGTTTAACTCGAAAACTGAACTAAATTATAAATACCACCAGGCTACAACCGCATACCGCTCCGAGTTCCAAATCTTTGTCGTTAGCTACCACTCAGTTATAAATGAAAATATACGAAGGTCGATTCCCACGTCTCAAATCGTTGTGTCGTATGATTACAAAATTCATCTTAGTATAATCGCGCCAAATTCAAGTCTGCTTTGTTGGTAAAATCATGCCTCTAACTGAATGACTATAGTTAAACCACATAAGAAGGATAAAGCGCTCGGCGTTGATCAATCCCTGACGTATGTGCCATTGGACTTCAATAAGCATCGTTGGAGGTGACTGAATATACATCTGGTCATTACAATAACGGGCTTAGTGGTGTATCGAGCCAGTCTTACTATCCTCCCAGACAAGCCTGGTACCAATCTACCTACCCCGGAGGAATGGAGGGCTTCGTGGATCCGACATGCGACGATCGACCCCATGTGCACTGCAAGGCGCCTCCGACCACTGCGCCACACGCGCCACTAGTTAAATCTCATACTCTATAACAATGTAGCAACGAACGTGGTGTACTGACGAAGATCCTCTTCATAAGTCGACTGAACACCCATCTGCGAATTCGTGCTGAACATCTCCTCAACATTCCACCCATTATTGCGTTGATATCGCTGGCGCTGATCTGGCTGAAAATGATCAGCGATGACTCATTGCTTACAATTTATCTCACACTGCACGTACTTTTTAAAATAACAGTTCATAAACTGAGAAAAAACTATGAAAGCCAACAAGCAGAGAAATTTCAAACACACACCATCTGATCCAATTGTTCGAACTCCTCTGCATCTTCATCAGCACTCCATTCTTGTAAGTCATGTTCTTCTTCTCCAAGACGTCCATTCTGTTGTTTTACATGGTAGTCACGGTCAGTAACAAACCCTGACATTGGTCAAAATTTTCTTCCAAGACCGACAAACCATGTACCAGTGTCAATAATGAGTAAGTATAACACAGATCATTTTCAAATTTGTTCAAAAATAGTTTTTGTGCTGTATCACACGCACATTTTCTTCGCTAGAAGCAGTACAATGTAAAGAAAGAAAACAGCTGTGCTACTTATTTAAGTACTTCGACGAAAAACAACAAAGAACCACATAAAGTACAAACAGCCTGTGCCTGTGTGTGAATTCCTAACGGACGCAGTATCATAAGGATATTGAAATATTTTCCAGACTCTGGATCGCAGATGTCTGCGGTGGAGATTGAACACGTTATTGTCCTTTCCGGGGACCAACGCGTTCACCACCACACCATACAGTTCCTTCTTTTCGCCTTTCAGCTGTATTTTATAGGTACTATCAGCAATCACCCATCAGCGAGATTGATCGGGGGCACAAATCAGCACTGAACCCAAAGACAAAATGAAGAACCCACATGGTGCGGTAGTGAACACGTTAGCCTCCGGAAAGGGTAACAGCGAATTCGATCTCCACCACAGACACCTGCGTTCCGGAGTTTTGCAAATATCTAAGCATCATTACGGACGCAATATCATTCAGAAAATTTGCATGAAAGACTTACTTAATTACTTAATGAAGAGAAAGGCTATATTCGTCCATCTGTATTACACACATACCTCGGATAACCTTTTCCTCATTCATTAGTGCTGACATAGCAACGATATCATTGAATTTAAATAGCATCTTGGTGGTCATGTCCTCCTTCTTCGGCAGCAGGTTCGCCATATTACCCGTGGTAATTTTATACGCGTGTCGTAAACCAATGTCAAGCTGAAAACACAATGAAAAAAGGAATCAATACATATCAAAAAGATAGAACCCACTTGGACAAGTGACAATTTAAACTGAAATTTGCTGTGTGACCATTGTCAGTATGCAACATGTGAAAGAACATACAAATTTTAATGGTCTACGTAGCCAACAACAAGTGGTGGATCTACACTTGGTCATTTCGTGCCAGTAGATCTAAAGCCATGACTGCTCAGATACCACTAAGCATTTCCGAGAATAAATTTAACTCTATGCCCATAACTAGATGCCAGAAAGTCAACTTACTTCAGGTGAACATGCAGTAAATATCCCAGAATACTTTGCCCCGTCAATTGCTTCTACCAGCACTTCCTTACCCTAGAAAAACTCTCATTAAGACTAAAACGTTCCAGACAAGAGAAGTACTTCCAGGAAAAATGAGGACTAATTTCCAGTCCAGATCGATCATTCCGCTCATAAAAAAATGGCAATAGGGTAGAATCATACGTAGTAACTCACCACCAAATCGTTTATGATTGTCAATAGTGAATGGTTAGCGTATATTCCGTCTACCTGGCTCTGCAAAAAAAAAAAGATAAGCCACTAATCCAAGACTCTAAAGAAGACGTGAAACAACAAACCAATAAAACAATGTTTTAAATGAAATCACTAATGATTAGAATGAAACACAAAGAGTATATAGTCAACTAAGTTAAGTTAAAAGGTTTTATGCAGCTTCTTACTTATCCAAGGCTACTTCTTACTTATCCAAGTCAATTCTAAAAGATAAAAAAAAACACTCCCTTCGACGGTTTACCGCCTTATCATCGCTGGGAGGTGGGAGGTGTTCCTGGGTGCAGGGCTGCGATGTACAGCGGGAGGATTCATCCTCCAGCAGTCTCCCAAGCTGAAGAGACCGGCTTTTCCATCAGGAAACCCATCTAGGAGTAAACCAGTATCATGATCCACCACCGTCCTAGTATCAAAATAGTCTCATGGTGGCAAATCTCCCTCTGGTCAACAAAGATGGCGACAAACAAAGTAAGCCTGTGGTGGTAACGACCTTGGGCACACCTTGGCCAGGCTGACCTCGGGACTCCAGGGAACCATAATGGCTAAACCACCAAATCTCCGGAGAATGGAAATCATGATGGGGCCTGTACAACCAGTGAGGATGAGCCATCCAATTATCCTAGTAAGTGAAAAAAAAACACTCAAAGTCTCGAAATTAAAAATCACAGTTCACAACAGATATCACTACCCACTACAGCCGTATACCTAACAGTACAACTGAGCACAACTGTTACTTACCATATCAGGTGTGTTTGCGTCGCGATGAGAATGAAACTCAAATCAGTGGGAGTGTGGGTACGCCAAACTTTCAGTTGAAAGGGCGCACTAGCCGAAGGCAAAAAAATTAGAAATTCCTAAGAAGAAACTCTGTTTCAATCTGAAATCACACATTCACCAAATGACTTCATTGAGATATGAACTGGAAAATGCGAGGATGCGGCACGAAAATGTGAAGGTTCTGGTATTTCCTTCATTCTAGGCTCAAACAGAAAAGACAAAATATGGAATCAGAAATTGATCAGGGAAGAAATCGGAACGAAATCAAACTGTAAACCGTTGAGAATGGAGACCTCCAATGGGAGAAGAAAAACGGAGAACTGCACCAAGCGTCGATGAAACCGACGGCGACGGGCAGGTGGATTCAGCGGAAAGCGCCGGGACCCATCACTGACTGGATCGCCAATCGATAGTCGCTGCGTCATCGATCGGCGGCGTCTGCAACGCACGGCGACCGACCGCCGGCGACAGCGAGCGACGAGAAGCGCGACGTCGCCGGCCGCGACTGACCGCTGTCGACGGCGGCGCACCACCGGGCGGTGCCGGGCGGGTCGCGTCGCAGACCTCCACGTCGGACCCGCGCAACGCGCCGCCGCGGTCGCCGCCGTCCCCGTTGTCGGCTATCGATTGGTCGCTGCCGACGCAGCCAACATGGAGGCGCTCGTGGGATCGTCATCCTCACGACTAACTGACCGAGTGGCTGACGGGCTACTCGTTGTCGCAATCCACTTAGAAAGTGCGGTGGGCTTAGATTTGCTTTGTAAAGTTACTTCGAGTGATCAACGGATACAAGACTCGTACTTTTGCAAAGTGGTCCTCCAAGGAATCTGATTGAGGGTGGATGACATTAAGGAAGCTGTGAGCAATCAGATGATTGCAACTCAGCAGACAATGATCCCTGATAAGATACTATATAACAACCTCACAACTAAGATTCGCCAACCTACGATGACCCCGTCCACTTGCAAAGAGACCCGATCAAACCGCTACTCCATCCTGTCCCAAATCATTGAAGCTACTGTCGTGGACGTCGTGTGAAAAATGTGATGAGATAACACAGGACGAAAAGTCAGTAGTTTGCTGTTACACCGTCAGTGTTTTGCCGATGACATCGTTCTTTGATGACATTAGTATTAGTATGACAACAACCATTAGTATGTCGGAACGAATGCTGTCTGGTTTCTACAGAGTGCGAAAAACAATCGGTCTACGGCTGAACCTAGAAGAAAGCGCTGGCCCAAGGGCCCACGTTATGCTCTAAGAGGCCATAGTTTCCGATTGCCTGTGGAATATTCAGAGATATTTGCGAAAGACACTTCAATACAGGAGATTTAGACAAAGGATGCAACAGGGAAACATTAGCAGTACGTCAAAAAAACGTAGAAAAAAATATCCCCAATATAAAAATATAAAAAATAAAAACCCAATAAATTTACAAACAGAATAAATAAGAAAACAAGAGAGACAACAAGGATGGCCGAAGGGACCATAGATATTAAATGAAATCTAAAGTAATCTGCTAGAAGTAGAATTCGAGTGAATTAAATACTTGTAAAGGTACTGGTCGTAGCTGCCCTAAGTGTAAGTTTACAAGCTACTTAAACTATGACGAATAAATCAATCAATCGAAAAGTAACAATGCAAATGATAACAATAATAATAATCTTAACCCTTTTATTTACTGCTTTTTTCTTTCTAATGGCAGGGTATGTTGCGAAATATAACTCGTATATAATGCTGAGATATTTGCAAAACTCCGGACCGCAGGTGTATCCGGTGGGGAACGAACGCGCGCTGTTGTCCTTACCGGGGAGCAACGCACTTCAGCACCACACCATCCGGGTCCTTTGTTTTTGCCTGTCTCTGATGGCAAAAAGATCGATAGAACTAGCTGAAGGACAAGCAAAAACAAAGGACCCGGATGGTGTGGTGGTGAAGTGCACTGCTCCCCGGTAAGGACAGGAGCGCGTGTTCGTTCCCTACCGCATACACCTGCGGTCCGGAGTTTTGCAAATATCTCAGCATTACATATTACAGCATTACGAATAATAATAATAGTGACAATATTATAATAATAATAATAGTAGTAATAATAGTAATAATAATGGCATCAATAATAACAATAATAATAATAGGGAGCAGATAGCACAGTGATACGGATCATCATGAGCAAGGTTCTGGATTGATCCCGCTCCGGGCTCATCAAAGCCTCTCATCCCTCCGTGGTCGGCAAATTAGCACCGGACTAGCCTGGGAAAAATTCACTTTTTGCAACCCAAGTGGGGACGTAGCCCAGCCTATCTCAGCATTTCAGGGAGAATCGACTAGGCCGGTATTCTACGATATTCAAGAGGAAATGAAAAATCTCAAGCAGTGGCCGAAACTACACGTAGAAGTTGGAAGACCTTCGTGGATGATGGATGCGAGGAAACGAATCGAATATGAGAAATGCTGAGATCCACACAGTAGACGTGAAGACTGGTCGTATAGTAAAGGAATAATATTGACAATGAATAATTAACCACCACAATCACAATCGCATCTTTCACAAGATGAAATAAAAAAGGAGCTCTCGACGTTGATCAATCCCTGAGGGGATGCGCCATGCGTTCGACTTCAATAAGCATCGTTTGGATGTGATTGAATGCATACCTGGTCTTTACAATGACTCGCGGTGGCCTGCCGATGTATCGAGCCAGTGCTGCTATCCCCCCAAACAATTCTGCTACCGATTTGCCAACCCCGAAGGGATGGAAGGCTTGGTGGACCATGGGCGCCAGGATCGATTCCACGTGTGTGTTGTAGGCCGCCTCCGACGACTGCGCCACACGCGCCCTTTCGTTCACAGGATAGAAAGGAAAATATTTGTCGGCAAGGTAGTGAGGTACAAGAGCCCAGTGACTGTTATCTGTTCAACATGTTAGTCCATTATCACGGAAGCAAAGGTTAGAAGGTGGTGGGTGCTCTGATAACAAAAGAAAACTTCTAAATGAACATTGAACTGAACGGAATGTAATTCTCAAAACCAACTTTCAATTAACGTCGACATTGGAGAACTATTCGCTACTATCTTGATAAGCACAGAGAGAATTGTTACCGTACAGTATTTGTTCACAGCAGATGACTCTTCGGCGGATTTCTCCTTCTTCAGAGGTCAAATTGACACGCAATCTGCTCAATCAAATGCCTCCATAACTCAACAGAAAATCTATGAAACCTTGTTTCCAATCGCATTGAAAGAGAACAACTTGTTCACACACTCGCCGTTTTGTATGAGGATTCCACTGAGTATTCTACGTGGAGACCAACGGTACAGAGCTCACAAGAATGAATAATGAGCCCTACCCACGTTAAAATATCAGCCTGAGATACTGTGAGACATCTGGCGTGACAATGAGGTGTTCATCTCTGTGACTGGTTTTCAAATTTTTGGAATAACGAAACCGTAGTTCCTCGGGCTAGGTGTAGAGGGAGAGCGATGCCCACAGACAATAACTCTAGCTAGAACGAGGTGCCCGTTTATCCTGCCCTTCATTTCCAACGAAATAAGTGCAGCTCTAAGACGTTGCTTAAACATAGGTGGTCTAAAGAATTCGTTAACAGTGATTGAAATATCATGGAATATTCTAAGATGCCAGGAAGTTCGAAACCGCCTATATGATCACCTATGCACGACACAAAAGTGTATAATGTGCCCTAATGATAAATAAAGATGGTGATGGCACGAGTTCCGGTACGGCTTATTCGATCTCTTATAAAACCTGTGGTGGTGAATGCATTGGCGAAACGGGTAGTAGAGCATGAAGTGTCCGTACAAAGGAACACCTCGACGGTAAGCGTAAAGTTAAACAAAATATCCCACTAGACACTCATAGGACGGAGACACATAATGGAGAAGAATTTGAAGTAGAAGACACCAGCCCACACAGGAATCCAAAACTTCAGCGTGTACAACCTTCGGAGCATTCCGGATAAACTCCACGAACCCGAAAATGAACTGTAGGAAGGATTAGCTCATAGCGACATCTGTTACAATATCTCAGAATAATATTTTGACGTGAAAGTGACTCGTTACTGAAGAAGCTGTTGTATTGCAATTCAGCTCTTACGAGTGAAAATTAGCTACTCTGGTTTTCTGCCGGGGTTATGAAGGCGTTTGGGTGACTAAACTGTAGTTAACTTGACCTCGCAGTCTCTGAGGAAAGCGAAATCCGACAAAACGTTAACTGTTGTGAACAAATAGTATACAATAACAACTTCGTGTGTGCTTATTAAGAAGGCAGTGAATAGATTGTGTTCAGTGGAAGGGTGTGGGAAACGGACTCTGTCAAATGAAAACTTTCCGAATCAATATGCACCAAGGAGAACTGACTTGGGGGTACCGAGAGAGCAAAATAATTTTACAACAAATATTCGATCCGTTGACAGGAATTTTGTGGTGAGAGTGAATACTGAATAAGAAGGAAAAAAACGTCAGTCCATTATTATGCAAGCGATGATAGAATTACATTCATAACAATACATACGAAAACGAGGAAAGAGAGTAACGTTCACATCTCTACAATGCCGACCTCATCACCACGTGGCCACCATCGATGATCAGTGTTGACACGTCGCCAGCCCAAGTAAAGGAATAAAAAGAATATTAGTTGGTTTGAGAGATTTCGAATCAGGAACTGTGTTGCGAAGAAACGCAGAACATTTTCATCTTACTGGGAAGAAGACGCTAATTTACTTACCGGGAAGGACAACAAACATCTGCTAACGACAGGAGTAATGGCTAGAAACGAAGGGTTATAGTGCTCTTGGAACAAAGTGTTGAGAAAACGGAATTCCTTAGCGCTGGAAGACGACTTTTAAAGTGTAAGGTAGACCATCATAAAAAACGGAAATGGTGTGCCGCTTCCGAAAGTTTGGAAGCGATTTGTTTGCAATGGAAGTGATGCATCAAACAGCTGTGGTTCCAATAAATAGAGCCATAACAGATGCTGATTAGTATGTGGTACACTTGAACGACAAGTAGATTTAGTAAGAGATCTTGTGGCACAAGGTTACGTTAACCTTAAAATGAAAAATCAATGTATGTTAAATAGCACCGACCCGTCTTGAAGAACACGAAACCTCCAAGAAGATATGACAGCAAGTATCAAGAAAACCACATGAAAAAGTTAGGAAGCTGTCGGACGACTTAGTAAACGCTTCCAGTGAGATCGCAACGAAAACTTTCTAATACAGATAAATCCTAAACAACAAAGTCAACAAGTACCAAATTACTGCCAAAAAGCAATAAGGAGTCCCGAATTGAAAGCGTACACGCTGTTCGCTTATTATATATATATATATATATATATATATATAGTATATAATTGCAGTTGCTAATCGAAAATAGACCTTCGAGTCAGTTCTCGGCACCGAATAATCACTAGCTTTTAGCAGAATGCTCGACTTCGTGAGAAAATGCCACGCGGGACTTTTCGTAGTTGTCACAAGGTAATGCCTCAAACTTGGGTAATTAAACAGTTTATACACATAAATGCGGCATCAATATAATTCTAATATCGACGGAGAACTAGTGACAGACAAATAAGGCACGTGCAAAGCTATGAGGTGCTGTACCCTACTACTAATGCGAGGCTTACGAAGGCATAAGAGTATTGTAAATAATACTATTGCAAC